ATCGCCATGGCGATATATAGCTAGCGTACGCTCTAAGTGCATGGAGCAATGACAAATTGGTCAGTTTTGGTATCATTTGTCAAACAACCCGCTTTCCTAATTGGGATCATCATAGCACGTAGTCACCCTAATTCTTCGAACCACCTTATCTAGGCATCTTGACATTCTATCATAGTTGGATGGTATAATTGACATAGTGGACGTTTCCACCATAAGTCTACTAAAGAAGGATAGTGCAATTTCGTCTAGTTCCCATCTAGTGTTACACTGTAGAACATGGAGAGTTTGAATCTGAAACTTTTCATTCCTATACCTAAGGGTTTCAATTATCTCAGCACACAAAGAATATCAATATATATATATCCAATTTGGCACTACTTTTGTTAGCAAGATATGCATTTTCAGATGAGGAATCATCAAATATGTGTATTAGATGCATATCCAATATGGTATTAGAATTATTATCTTCAACCAAAGATAACATCTGGCCAAGGCGGAGAATCCATATAAGCAACAAAAGTCCTACTTCTGTCAAAAACATCTTAATTGAATTCTTCCAAATGATAGGATAGTCTAGCATTTTTTCATTCTTCACAAAGTGCATAACCATACACTTATAAAAACTTAATTCCAATTACACGATCGTACATTCCCAACTCAACTCATTTGAGGTAGCGTCGTGGTTGTAGCAACTCATCAGGTTGGGTTAAGTTGCTCTTGATTACTTGCACATGGTGCCCATCTTTGGCCAGAGAGTAAGCTAATGCAGAACCGACTACACGGCTACAACAACTTGTGGTCCTCCATCCTCCTTTAGGTGGGTTATAAGTGGCATGGGCTTTTTTCATAAATCAATTCATGTCTTCCATCCTTTGGGCTTGCTTATAAGGCTGTGGTTAAATTAGATTCCTCTGCATGCAATTGCCTTCGTACAATTTTTAATGAATCGTCGGTAGTGTTGTTGCCATTCTCTCTAAAATAGTCTCATTTTTCTAGGCATTGATTTCGATTTTTCAACCTCTGTTATCTCCCCAATCTCATTATTCCTTGGGCCATTTACCTTTAATTTATTTAGGATCATTATTTGTTGGGCTTGATTAAGTGTAACTTTGTAACCTATTTGTTATACCACATGCCTATCAAAGTCTAAATTCATCAAACCCACCAATTTTCAGTCATTCCTCTTCTCCTGATATAGCTAATCTAGACTCCTTCCAAAACATGCTTTCACCTCTTCTCATCCTCTGACGATAGTAATGGATACACCTGCAATTGGGTGCTTTGATACCAATTTGATACGAACCTGGAAAATGCTGGTAATGTTGATGAGACTAAAGAGCTACTGTTGCTCTATGTTACCCTTCAGAATTGGAAGTAACTGTTACTGAGAGGTATTTACACACTTATGGATGTATAAATAAGTTAATTATTGACGAATTGAACGAATTTCTATTTTTAATCTCGTAATTATTGATTTTGTAGGCTAAAATCACCAACTGAAGAAGAATAAAGCCAAATGAAGAAAAGAGGACCAAACTTTCACAAAATCATGATATTGGGGACTAAATGTACAAGTTGTAAAGTTGGAGGACCTTGAGTTGCAATTTCTAGAGGATGTGATTGAAATGAAGTCAAAATTTGACGACCAAAATGTACAAGATAAAAGATGATGGACTAGAAGTGCAATTACCTAGAGGACCAAAGTTGATAAAAAGAGGAAGTGAATCGACACCTAGGCACCAAGTCTCGGATACCATGACGAAGCCATGACACCTAGGTCCCTAGCTACCGGCTAGGGGGTTTTATTTTGTTCTTCAAAATTTAGCCATTCTTCAATTAATTGGGATTTTTTATTTATTTAATTTTTTTTTTTTTGGCTTTATTTCAATCATTTTGAATTCATTCTATCTTTTATCTCTTCCTACAAACGAAAAATAAAATAGTGGAAAAAAGGGAGAGTACAAAGAGAAATTTGGGATTTTCAAAGAAAGATTCAAGATTTTAACCCTTCATTTCTTCAAGAATATATTCAAGGGACGTGTTTCTTCTACTATCTTGTATCTTTTTATTATCTCCCTCATTTTGCAATGAACTTAATCTCTATTTCCATATTATATTATATTTTTATTATGTAATGGGCAAAGTGTTTAAAGTTAGAATTTATGATTTTGCTTGATCTAAGTTTAATTAATATCCATATTTACTATAATGCTAAAATTGACATCGTTATTTTGCATTTTTATTGTGTTTATATTTCCATCATTTATGTGGCCAATAGATGATTGGGTTAGGTGGTTTGTGTAATTGCTGAGAGATTACTTTGTTTTCTTGACCAAAATAATTAATGTCCTATGTTGTTTTAGAAGATAAAGATATAATCCTAGGTGATCCAATGAATTATTTTTACTGTAATTTAATGCGAATGATTGTGTTTTTATCAACATAGAGATATAGTGGTTAAAACCAATTAACAAGAGTTATTTTCACTCTAGAGAGGTAATTAATTAAAATTGATAAATCGGGTCTAACATTGTAACTAGGTGATTTACATTTTCGATTTATTGAGATATTAATGAAATGACATTTAAGTGATATCGTAAATCTCAAGTCATTTAAAATCCAAAATCTTATCCCTTTCACCATTATTAGTTTAATTGAACTTTGAAATTATTTTCTTTCCATTTCTTACTTAAAAATTTAATTGTGTTTATTTTTATCATTAATTTGAATCAATCATCATTTAAATGGAAGAAAAACTTTTCAATGACTTGGACTCAACATCCATTTTATTACTTGAACACACTCGTGCACTTGTGGTATATAATTTTAACGAATAAGTTTTTGGTACCATTGGCGGAGAGTTTTTATTTTGATTACTGATAATAACACAAATTGTCATGATTTCATCCATTTATACTTGCGTTATCATGATAAATTAACACCTAAATGCACTAAGCACCCTTCCATTTTGATATTGCTCGCAAATGGATGGATACGGTGGAAGTTAGAAGAAAATAACGAAAAATGACTAAAGTGGAAGAAAGTGAAAGTTCAGGGATCAAGTTACAAATAATCTAAAGATGAGACAGGCGATGACATGATGATTCGAGAAAGCTAGGAGTCCATGGGGGTGCAATCAGAAGTCAAAATAAATTAAATATGACAATAATATTTTCACAAATCAAATTCCGACTGCATAAGAATTTTCCAGATTTTCAGCTGGAGATTGAGATCCACTTTTGACCTAGTAAATGTTCGAATTTGGAAAGAGATATTATAGAAAAGTTGTATTCCTTTGTGTTAGCTTTTCAACGCCCTTTGAATTGCCTTAATCGAATATCGGGAAAGAAAGTTATAGCCAAAAAATTGAAAGCTATTGCAAAAAATAATTTTTGGCCGAATCTTCAAGTTCCCTTATTCCGTTCAACCTCTTTTGGAAACAAATTGGCACGCTATTTTAAGCCCTAATTCGACCAGAACACGCCCCTCTTCATCCCCTATCTCTTTTCTCTCATCTTGGGCTTAAAAACTCCATGGAAGGCTAAATATTTTGGTGAATCCACGAAGGATCTTGATCGGATTTGAGGATTTTAATATCTTTTCATTCATTTAATGTGCTTTTCATTGTTGAATAATTCAGGGATTTAGATTTTTACCCTATTATATTTTTGAAGTTTTTTTAGCTTTTATTAAATTGTTCATGGATTCAATCATGCTTTTTCCATTGAATGATAAAAATATTTGTTGGATTTAAACTTCAATTAATCTATTGATGTGATTTGATTACTGTTTTATGCTTGAGGTACATAATCGTTTTGAACCCTATTTCAATAAATCAAAGTGGAATATGTTCTTAGGAAGTCTAAATTCTAGAATTATAAGTGAAATTAAATTGATCTAGATTTTTCTTCATGAATTGGTTTTGAAAGTGGTTTAATTCTTATTAGATTTTTCAGAGAATTAGTCATGCTCTTTCTCTAGTTTGATCAAATATCTATTGAATTCCAATTTCATTTAATCTCATTGGTGTGATT